ATTGATTTACAGTAGTCCTCCAGATTAACTTTGATAAAAATACTGTAAAATACACTTGCTGGTGTTTACACTTAGATGAACTTAGTACAGACATTCACTGGATGTAATTCAATGCTTGTTCCGATACTAGCCATTAAAGTAGTTATTTTATGTCGAATCAGATCATATGCTGTTTCTCAGATCATATGAAAAAACTTTTTCTTAAATATTTCGAGCGCTGAAAAATTTTAGTTTTTCAAGAGAAGATATATCTTTAATTAATGTAGTAATCAACCTCCAGCAATAAAAATCCAGGTGAGGAATAAGATTCCTCTCAGATCATTTTTTATTATATATACAGTAAATGTTTGGAACACTTTGGATCTTCTCAATCTACCATTTCATAGAAATTTGAATCACCAGAAGCGATAGACGGAGAAGACTTATTTGTTTTGCTGCCACTTGGATATGACTTAGATGAGTATGGTTTTTCTTTCCCAGAAAAACTAATCTTTATTGGAGATAGTGTTATATTTACAGTTGAAGTTTTTATAGGAGAAGAGCTTCGACATGTAGAAGTTGTTGGAATGGAGCACTGGGTCGATTTGCTTCGGAATTTCGGCTTATATTGAACTTGTATTCCCTTTGATACAAACTTGTGAGCCTCTCTCGATATTTTGTACCTGTCAAGCAAAGTGTCTTCTACTGACAATGATTCATTGCCATCTTCTTCTTTCATTAATTGCCAATCACATATTGATAAGTTTTCTGTTGGCCTATCACATAGAGAATTTTTCAAGATTTCAATCTTGATTTGTTTTGACACATTTCGATTCTCAGAATCATGTTTTCTATCCTTCTGACAATCGAATTTATGTGGTACAACATCTTGTTTCAGTCTTTTCCTGACCCCCATATTTTTCCACTCCATAAAGTTTTTTAAATCTTGTTCAAGCTACAAATGATAATGATGAATACCAAAGTAGAAATGATCTCCTTCAAAAAAATAAATTGGATTATTTTCTTCTCAGTATTTGCATGAACCATAGTCTTCATAGCATACAT